AACCTTTCTTCTTCTGGGGCATCTTGTCACTGCAATGAAAGAGTAACTGATACAGAAGGAAACATAGTTAAACAGAACTGTAAGATAACAAAGGAGTTGACTGTGGGCTAGTCAAGGTCTTGTCTATTTGGGTAAATGAGCCGTGTGATTTGAGGCTCTCTTGAACATGAAATTGCAAGGGAAATATGAAATTAGTGGAAAAGAATCATTCACCACTCTTTTCTAACAATAGAACAACATTCTATGGATGGTATTTGGTGGTGGTGGTGGTGGTTGTGTGTGTGTGTGTGTGTGTGTGTGTGTGTGTGCACGTAGGTCAATAGTTCTCAACCTTTCTAGTGCTGTGACTTTTAATACAGTTCCTCATGTTGTGGTGACTCCCAGCTGTAAAACTATTTTGTCGCTACTTCATAGCTATAATTTTGATACTGTTTTGAATTGTAATGCAGATATCTGATATGCAGGATAACTGATAAGCGAGCCCTGCGTAAGGGTTGTTCGACTCAAAAGGGGTCACGGTCCATGGCTGGAGAACAACGGGTACAGGGTAAAGGACAGACTTGGCTGTCAATCTCAGGTACTGTCCACGTGTTGCTGTCACAGAGTCCCTCATTAGTCTGGGTCTTAGCAAACAGACCAGGGTGGCTGACTAGTGATCAACCTCTCTGCTCCCTGGAATGTCAGGCACATGCCGCCATTCCTGACTCTTTGGGGATGGAATCTGGGTATCACAGTCAGGCCCCCATAACTGCATAACAAGCATGCTACAAACCAAGTTTGTCCCCTGCCCACAGGTTAATGTTTTTGATTGATTGGCAGGAAAAGATGTCAGGATTAGCCAAAGCTGCAGTGGTGGTGGTGGGTGAGTAGGGAGGTCACTTCAGGTAACCTTCCAGGTGTCTTTTCCTCCCTGGCCCCACTCTCTTAATTAGTCCCAAGGCATGCATTGCAGCCCCGAAAGTCAGTTAACTTACGAGGTTACTTACGAGGTATTAGAACCTTCATGACACTTGCCTTAGTTACAATTCTTGTGTTATTAAGAGGCACTATTGACCAAGGCAACACTTACAAGAGAAAACATTTATAGGATTTCCCCAGTGGAAATTCTAGGGTTAGTTTTCTATACTATCATATCATCTGTACATAAAGATACTTTGACTTCTTCCTTTCTGATGTGAATCCCTTTGGTTTCCATCGGTTGATTTATTGCTCTAGCTAAGACTTGAAGTACTGTATTGAATAGATATGGAGCGAGTGGACAACCTTGGCTTGTTCCTGGTTTTAGTAGAATTGCTTGAGTTTCTCTCCATTTAAGTTGATGTTGGCTATGGGCTTGCTGCAAACTTCCTTTATTATGTTGAGGTATGTCCCTTGTATCCCTGATCTCCCTAGGTCTTTTATCATGAGCCTCATGCTCAGGACTAGTTGGCCAAAAAATAATGGACTTCACAGGCTTTTTGTTTTGTTTTGTGTATGTGTGTGCGTATGCGTTTATTTAGCTACAGTTTGGTGGCTTTTTTCCTTTTTGAGTGTGGCCTTATTTTTTTTCTTAGTTTTGAGGGATTTTGTTGTGGTATTGGGTTTTTGGTTTTGTTTGTTTTGAGAAATAACTTAAAGTTGAGTGGGGAGAGAGGGGAGAGGATCTGGTAAGACTTGGGTGCGGGGAACAATATACTTAAGATATATTTAAATTTAAGAATTGTTTAAATAATAAAAATATAATAAGTTTCATAATGTTAGTCCATGATCATAATGGCAGGAAACAGACAGGCATGGTGCTTGGGCAGCAACTGAGAACTTTATACCATGATCCACAGAGAGCAGTCAGAGAGAGAGAGAGAGCAACTAGGCCTGGCATGGGCTTTTGAAAACTCAGAGACCACCCCAGTGATATAATTCCTCCAACAAGGCCACACCTCTGAATCCTGCCCAAACAGTTCCACTAAGTGAGGACCAAGTATTCAAATACATTAGCATATAGGGGCCATTCTCATTCAAACCACAACGATGATCTCATAGGAAAAATCCAACATTTAGGAAAGGAAAGAGCCAACCAAAGGAAAGAATTGTCAGCAGTGGGCGGTCAGGGACAGGCAGGAGCCCAGCAATGGACTCCCCTGGTTGGGTTTCTCTTGAGTTGTACCCACCCACCACCATCATCAGTTCAGTTCAAACTGCAGGCTGAAAGGAAATGTGAAGTGGTGTGTGTCGCCTTATGAAGACATGCTAAAATGGTCCCATGACTATCCTAACAAACATCAGTGTAGGAACCCCACTGAACTGTTGATGAAAGCTCCCACTTCAAATGCAAGATTTCTCCAGAATTAATAAGCAAATCCTGTGGCTACTCTCGGGGAATATGTATGTGAGCCAAGTGATATAGAAGGAACCATTTTAAAGTAGACCAAAAAGCAAACCTTTGGCAAGATGCTCCTGTTTTGTGCATTTTTCAGAGATAAGAGCATTCTTTGGAGAGGATTCAGGTTACGAGTGGTGTGGGATTTATATTGAATCTCCCCGCCCACTGTGCGGAGCCTGGTACAGAGCAGGTGTTTGTTGAATAGGCTTTAAACATGTGCTGAGTGTGTGTCCCTTTTGTATCTGTTAGACCCGAGGCGGGGAGAGGCTGGCTAGTTTGTAACAAGATGTTGGAAGATTCCTGGCTGCACCAGGAGCTATATGGACAGCTTTACTCCAGGCATTTGCTGGAGTTAAACCGGGACTGACTTCTCTACCAGGCACGGTACCCATGGGCCACAAAACTTTTAGTCTGTGGAAAGGTTTTATTGCCTATAAAATTGGAGGGAGAATTTTATACTCACACAGTGGCAGATATGATCTTTAGGGTTTTTTTTTTCCCAATGAAGGAGGTGATCCCTGGAAGTCACAGTTCAGCCTGGGCAACTTGACCTTCTACTATGCAAGAAAGTAATAGTCTGATGGGTCTCTCTCCATAGATGCCACCACAAATGACCTTTCAACCGTGGCTTCCTTCCTCCTGCCCCTCATTTAAAAGCCAGGCTTCTGTCTAATTTGCATACAAGGGAATTCTGTTCACTGCACATGTTTGTCTAAGGGTCCTAGTAAACCCATGCAACAATGAAGACCATGCTATGATGAAGACGTTTCCACTGTCCCCAAATGTTTCCTTCAACCTCTTTAGGGTCATCCCAATCCTTAGCTCTTGGGAACCACTGTCATATTTGTGATCTCTAGTCTTCTCTATTTTAGAACCTAGCATCAGCATCTAATATTGTATGACCAGTGTGTCTGGCTTCTCTCACTCAGCACAATACACTTGAGGTCATCTTGCTGCTACATGTGTCTATCAAAAGCTCATGCGTTTTTCTGTGGGATGTACTCCGGATTTCCATCACATTAAAAAAGTCTATTCATTATTGGAAGCCTATTGTGGTGTTTTCAGTCTTTGATACTACAAAAACCTCGGCAATCATTGGATTGTGTGGAGAAGGGGAGCTGGATGTGCGGGCAGAGTTCAGGCTGCCCTCCTTGGAGAAGAACCGGGCTCCTGCATTATTTGGAGTGTGCAATCTACTCACAGCGTTCTCAAGGCAGAGACGCATTCCCAGTTCCACTGAGAAGTACTACAAACTCTAGTTATATTTCACCTCACTGGCAGCAAACACTAGGCTAAAACCGGGGGTGACTTGCCATTGAAAATGTGCAATCTGTGCTGGGCGGCGGCGGTGCACACCTTGAATCCCAGCACTTGGGAGGCAGAGACAGGCTGATCTCTGAGTTTGAAGTCAGCCTGGTCTACATGCAACAATTAAAATGCTGCACCTGGATTTGTGTCAAATTAAGGAAGTGCCGAGTCCCAAGTTTGTGATGGTTCTCCTTATGATTCTTTTGATTTTATAACAGCACGAAAGCAATACTTTCAGTAGAAAGCACATCTTGAATCCAGTTTTGTGTGTTTCGAGACAGCATCTAGCCATGTGGCTCAGACTTGTGATCCTCCTGCCTCTGCCTCTCAAGTGCCACAATTTCAGGTGAATTTGATATTTTCCTGTCTAACAACCTACAGTACCGGCCTGTCTTGAGAAGCTCGGTGGTGGAAGAAACCATGGCCCTCAGCCAGCTGCACTGCCACACCCTGTTGTGTGCCGTGTGACTCAGCTGTGGGGCTCAGCGGTTTAGATGTGGTAGCATTGTGAACCTTTAATGCGCTCATCAGGACGTGTTCCCATCATTAGTTAAAGAGCATCAGTCTTGTCCAAATAAAAAGTCCAATGGCCTCATTTTACAGGAAACAACCAGAAACGTCAGGTGGCATCTCCGAGATCCAGGTGGAGGAAGAGGTACTTGGGTCTTCTGTCTCCTGGGCCATAAAGCTACCAGAGACTTCCCCTTTTCTTTCTTTCACTAGCAGGGTAGTAAATATTGGGTACAGGTAGCTAATATGATTGCGTGCGGGCCAATTCTAGTGATGGCCTGCTGAGGAGTCAATGAGCCCATGTGAAGGGATCATGTCCTACATGTTTCCTACATGCACGGATCATGTTCCCTGCTCCAGGATGCAGAAGGGGACCCCTGTAGGAAAGCAATCCCATTGTCACAGCCACAGGCACCTGCCCAGCTCTCTGGGTCCCTGTCCCTCAATGCCAATATCATTGGAAGCTGCTTGCCTGGGACCAAATTTGTTGACCTTGTTGGCTTGTTTGTTTTGCCCTGAAATGGAAAGCCTGAAGCTATTTGATGCTCTCAGATCCTTTCCAGCGTGGAAGCGCTAAGTGGTGACTGGGCGCTTGTGTGAGGTTTGAGCTGCAGGAAGCGGAGATGGAGAAAGGGTTGCTACCTGCTTTCTTTACTTCGTAGTGGCTGAAGCTGCCCCTGAAACACTGAAGCTCTTTGTCCCCTGACCCTTTAACAAGTGGTTTCCACTCACCTTCTTTACTAAGCTCTCTCCTTTGGTTTACTTTCATTCTCCATCCACTTTGGGTTTCTAATAAGCCTTCGAAAGGTCTGTGTCAACCTTCCTTATAAATCCTGGGGACCGAGCGTGGAAAGGAAGTTCACTGTGCTTCTATACAAATCACCAGGAGCTTTATTTGTCCTCAATTTTGACCAAATAAATGAAAGAGGGAAAGAGCTCTTATTACTTAGAAGAAAACGGAGACATCAAAGCCCGGCAGTTTCTCTTTGGCCTGCCTTCCATTGTGTTGCTGTCCTCCCAGGGGCTGGACACCCAACACTCCCCCAGAGGTTCTCAGAGCACGGACAGTGAAGCTGGAAATCCAAGTCTTGCTCCAGGGGGTAGGGGTTTTCTTCACTGCCTTCCCAGGACTTCTGCATGCTGCAGCCAGAGAGGGTGTGTCTGCAAGCAGAATAAAGGAAGTCTGACTCAGGTTCCCTGCAGACTGCCTATGCCTTGTCCACCCCACCCCCAACCCAGCTACCATGGCCAGCCAACCTGTGAAACCAGAGACCAGCTCAGCCTTGCAGGGCAGTGATTCCCAGCCTCCTGGATGCTGGTGGCAAGGGGCCTTGCTCTTAGCTCTGGCAGTCTCATGGCTCAGAACAGCTCCTGGACCACGGACACCTGGCTTCTCAACCCCCGCCCCCCGTCTTTCTCAGCAGTCTCTGTGCCTGCTTTGCCTTCCCCACTCACCTCTGCTGCTTTCCCTTCTGTTCTCCTCTACCGTGCTGCTGTCTTACCTCACACGCCCCCATCCCTCCTGTCTCTCTTGCTTCCCCTTCCTCTCATTCTCTCTTACCACATTTGGATGCTCACTGAAGAGTTGCTCAGCGGCTTCCCAATCAATGGCGGACATGCCAGATGTTCAGGGACACCTACGAAAGGCAACTGCATTTTTAATCTCTTGAGTCAATTGTATTTGTCTTTGGATTTTCTCTTTTGGTCCTGGGTCTCTGTCTCTCTGTCTCTACATCTCTCTGTCTCTCTGTCTCTCTCTCTCTCTGTCTCTCTCCCCCCCCTTCCCTCCCTCCCTAAAAGCTTCATTGTAAGAAGTGTATCCATTAGTAAATCAAGATTGATTTCCTCAGGGCTTTGGGAAAAGGATGGTAGGTAGTAACTTCTTTTCATACCATATCTAAATGTTTTCTATATTGTAGAGTGAGGCAATCGCCCTCTTCGTTAAGGTAGGGAGTCCCCAAAAACTTGAGCCCCCAAAATTCAGCTATGTCAATCATTTCCGGCGACCAGTGGTGGCTTTCCTTTTCAAAGGCCCACTGGGTCTGGTGTTTGCTTCAGAGGCCACAAGAATGTATATGAAGGGCTCCTGAGGGGTCCTGCAGCTTTGCTGGTATGGGTTCATGTGAGGCACATCTGCTGTTTCAGTTTGGCAGATTCCAATGGCACATCATCAAAAGTGCTGAATCTTGTTTTGATTAGTTATTTTGTGGCAAACATGGATATTTAATTGAATTTAATAGTCTCAGAACATGTTGGTAGTTAGGGTAGTCACCAATATGATTACAGGGGCAGGGCAGTTCAGGCACTCTCTCCACTATTGCTAGGAGTCTTAGCTGGGATCATCCTAGAGGGATTTATAATACGTGATGATTAAATTTTACAAAATGAGAAAGCGCCTTGCAGGGCACAGTGCCTGTCATGCGCTGGGACAGCAAGACATCCACCTCCTGCTGCGGTGGCATTACCCCAGCAAACCACTAGGGGGCGTGCGTTCAGAGAGTTCTCCATCTCCTAGGCTTCCTGGCCTCAGTAGTGACTATCTCAGGGCTCTCAGTGCGCTGCCTTGGGACAAGTGATGGATGGCCATTGTTCTTCTGTCAAGGCACACATCTATGCAGACTTGCACGAGTAACACAGGCAGAAAAGGAACGAAGAAAAAGACAAGGGGATGAGGTGAAAGAAAGGCAAGAAAGGGTCCCTGAGAAAAGGGACAGACAGAGAAGGCAGAATTGTGACCCTGGGAGAGAAGAGAGCTCATATTCTAGTAGAAGGGTGAACTTTAGTTCTGAAGCAACAACCTTTCTCTCTCAAGCCAGGAGCCATGAGGGCAGCAGCTCCAGAGGAGACTGAGGCTGCTCAGTCTGTGAGACCCAGGTGAAGACTACTCCCCATAACCTTTTTATTATGAATAAATTAATTAATTGATTGATTTGTTTGATCTAAGATGCCTTCATTTCCCTACACTGCAAAGGTCAACTAAGTGACCAGTGTCTCCGAGGACACTGGCAGGTCTGCTGAGTAGGACAAGGTATCCAGCTGTGCCGATTTTCACTCACATCATTCTGAGTGAGAAACCACTCATCGAACTTTAAAATAATTGATATTATTATTATTATTATTATTATTGGTGGTGGTGGTGTGTGTGTGTCTACCAAACATATTTAGAGATTACAGGGCAACTTTGTGCAGTACGCTTTCGTCTACATGCATTCTAGGCCTGGAACTCAGCATTCCAGGATTACAAAGGAAACCTTTTACCCACTGAGACAGATCCCCCACTTCAAGAATGTGGAAAATTATAAGGCTTGAGGTGAAGGCTTCAAGACGCAGGGTTGTGTTCTGGAAGGATGGGAGGCTGAAGGAGAGGAGCACCTCACACTGGGTAAGCTCCCTCAAACATCCCTTTAGGGTTCTTCCTGGAGCAGTTTCTCAAAGCCAGGGAGAGGAGACAAAGGCTAAACGTGGGGTACGCTGCTAGACCTCTGTATCTTGTGTCCTGTCTATCCTATGGCACAAATTGGGGTCCACAGGTGGGCACAAGGAAGAAAGCTATGTCCACTTAAGCCATCAACATTCCTCTTCTATCCACACAGGCAGATTTCTTTCCCTGGGGCCGGAATTGGGGAGGAAAGGAGAGGTTGGGTATCTATGGCACGGGAAACAGTGGGCAACAATGGAAAAGAAGCCAGACTTCTACAAGCTTGCCACTTGGAGATGTCTTAACTCAGGTTGAGGAAGGAAGTGCCAATGTCCTGAGGCTGGGGGACACGCTTCTGGGCCAGTGTGTGTGACTCTTGGCTTCACCTCAGCATGACTGGTGCTAGTTACTTCAGTACACATTCACCACGAGAGCCTACAGAAGGTCACCAGCAATTTTCTATAACATTCTTATGGAGCCAGAATGTGCCAGTCTGGCTTGGTGGCCTTAGGAATGGAGTGAGTCTCTCCAGATCTCAGCTCTTTCATCTGTTAGGGAGAGCCCAGTTATGAATGTGACTCAGAAAGCACATATGATATATTACAGAGGGCTTAGTCCAGTGCCTGGCCCAGAGAGTTCATCATAACCACAACAGAGAGGCTTGGCTTCATCTCTGTTGAGCAGCTTCAGTGAATATACCAGGTCATGAGTGTTTAAAATAATTTTGTGGCTGTTGTTTGTTTGTCTTACAGGCCTATTTACTATTGTTTTCGAAGGGCAATTCGTAACGCAGACATGAGAAATTTGACAGTAGAAAGAAACAACTGCCTCAGGGAGCTGGTTGCTCTTCCGGAGGACCTGAGTTCAATGCTCAACACCTGTTTAGTGGCCCAGAGCTACCTGTTGCTGCAGTTCCAGGGGATCCAGTGCCTTCTTTTGGCCTCCTTGAACACTAGGCACTCACATGGTACACAGCCATATATGCAGGTAAAACATTCATACATATAAGAAACCCCCCAAAACCCCAAAATAAAAAAATTCTCAAACTAAACAAGACCCACTCAACTACATAAAGTGCTGAGTTATCCAAAAGCTCAAATAGCAAAGGAAAACTACCAGTTCATGGTAGAAGTCTCTAGCAAAGTCTACATCGTGCACATTTGCTTTATCACTACCTATGCAAAGGCACTGGCTCTACCCAATACTATTTCCTGTACTAGAACTTGGATTTAGTCCACACACTGTAAGTCCTTTATTATCTGGCAAGGGAGTGCATCCCAGGATTTGGGGGTGCCTGGATCAGTGGGAAGTGATGAGTTCCCATGTATAGCTATCTACTAGGGCTCCGTAACCTACGTCTCATCCACTCTATTAGTCTGTAACTCAGGCACAGTAAGAGGCTAACAACAATGCTAGGGTCGAATGAGCATAGGAACACACTGTAGCAAACGTTATGGGAATGTTCTCTTTCTTCTCTCCCCAAAGTTACTTGCACAAAATCATTGTGACAGTACAGTTATCATCCTAAGCCAAGAAGGCTCCAAACTGATAAAAGGCAGGTAGCCTATCTCAAGGACAAGCTCTTTCGAGCCATGGTGACGCAGGAGACCTAGGAAGTCTGGGACAAAGTCTCTGCCTTCTGCTGGCTTGGTTGTCACAACACCAGAGCTTGCAGCTTCTGTAGGCAACCTATGAACATAAGAAAGGGGAAACCAAGTCAAGAGAGATGGTCCCTGGTAAGTCATTAAAGCCACTTCTTTCCCCAGACCTTTCATTTGTGAGATAGGAATGTGATTTCATGTGTTAATCCATTTCGAGTAAGGATTTCCATCACTCGGATGCCAAGATTTCAACACCCACGCCCTCTCCTAAGTTCCTGTCCTTTCCCCATTGTGGTGCAGATTTAAAGAGATCTTCCAAGAGTGATCTGGAGCAACACCAGACAAGGTTGCCAAATGAGTCCCCAGTGTCTACAAGTAACACCAGCATCAACATGATGGCCTGGATACGTAGAGTGGCCTCCCGATAGTCAGAAGAGCTGAGTTATCAGAGGAGACATTAGGAGGTGCAGAAGTCGGGCCAGGAGAGGTTGTCAATTCAGGTCAAGTGACGGGAGGGATACAAAATGTATACCTGACCCACCCCAAGGACAACAGCCCATAGAATGAGCACTCCTGAGGGGGACCAAGATAAAGCTGTCAGCCAGGCTGAGGTGAGGACGGCTTCAGATCTTGGGTACAGCTAATGCATGTGGACTTTGCCCATAGATACAGAGAACTATCACTGCCTTGCGTGACCTGACAAGTCAGCATTAATGTGACAGATAGATCACCAGCATCAGACAACGTGACACGGCTGAGAGTCCCTGTTCTAGGCCACTGCAGCAATGCAGGCTCCGTCCAGCCCAAGCCTAACCCAAGTGGAGTAGCCAGAGAAGAGCTGGGCAGGCCCGGGAAGACACAGATGCAACCTTCTCTGTGAGCCTTGCTCTCCTGCTCAGGGCCTTCTTCTTGCAGGCATTGAGAGCCAGTTTTAAAGCTGCAAACCCTGCTGCAAGAAGAATAGCGTTTCCACAGAGGCATTTGCTTTGTTTGGCTTGCTGAGGGAAATTATCAGTTTGCTGTTTCTGCTCCCACCGCACCCTCTGACTCACCCCAGGGGCCGTAGGCGTATTCTGCACCTCGGAGCACCACACTAAAATAAATTTCTCCTGTGCCTGCAAACATCTCATTTTAAGAAATGCGTTCAGTTGGTATTAATTTATACTTTTATGGTTTGCTTGTTTGTTTCAGACAGAAACTCACTACAGCGTCTATTGCCCAGGCTTGTCTGGAACTCACACTGTATCACAGGCTAGACTTGAACCCATAACAACCCTGCTGCTTTTGTCCCTCAAGTGCTAGAATCACAGGTGTAATTTATCATATAGGGCTGTTGTATTGCTGGAAAGAAACCCCCGGAGACTGTTCCTTTTAAGAGCAAAGAGGAATGAGCGTTTGTGAATTTGGCTTACAGACATCATGAAACGTCACAGGCTATTTTGTGAATTTGGCTTACAGATATCATAAAACGTCACAGGCTACTTTGCTGAGCGAGAAGTATTACTATGAGGTAAATCCTGTTTGAGGGCCAGGAGACCGGAAATCTAGCCGAGTCCTTTCGCTTACTCTCTGGCAGACACTTTCACACATGCCTTGCGTTTTCTCACCCACCCTAAAT